GAAGGGCATCCGCTGCATAAAAACTTGCTGATAAGTTGGCGGTTCATTCCGCTGTGGCGACCCCGTATTAATAAAGGGACTAAGCCGCCAAGAAAATGAATGAATGAATGAATGAATGAATATAACAGCTCAAGGATATTCAAGGAAACCATGTTTGTGCACTTTCTAAAAAGGTTAGTTCTGTTTTTTAAAAAAGGGTTGGAAATTAATGCTTTTAAAAAAAAATCTGATTCATCGATGAATCGAAAAAAAATTATTGACAGATTAATCAATTATTAAAATTATCTGCAGTTGCAGCCCTAATCATCTCTCATTAGCCCGGTGTTGTGATCAGTAGCGATCTAGCATTTGCAGATAACTGGAGAACTTAAAATCTGCCATTTTAATAAACTACAAATCCCATCATGTCCGGCTCTCACACACCAGTTCTAGATCACCTCTTGATTTTGCACACACAGCTGCAGATCATCCTCACTGATTGCTTGGACTATTTAACCACCACAGAGACATTAATTCCTTGCTCAGTATTGTTCCGTGTTTCTTGCTTCCATGTTTAATTGTGAAAGCTTTCTGACTGTCCTAACCTTTGTCTGTTACTTGGACTACTCTTTTTGGATAGCCTTTGCTTGTTTTGTTCCTGTTTTGATCCCTACCTGACCATTTACTAAATAAAGCTGCATATGGTACTCCATCTCTGTTGCCCAGCCTGCATCATTATACCTGGAGTGACTTGTGAATATTTGTACTTAGTGAATAATTCCAATACAATTGCAGATCGATTGATAACTTCGTGCAAATTAATATGGAATGTGATCTCATTCATCACAATTTGCTCATCCCCCAGGTTTACACTAAGGAAAACTCTGGTGTACAGCACTAGTTTGATAACATTGTTTTCCCTTTTAGGAAGTAAGAAAGGGCTAGCTATTGCTATTAGTTTTGAGACTTTCAGAAATTATGATTGCTAAATTACTGTGTTGATTATCTCAGAAGTTAGATGTGCAAAAAATGATCATGCTGAGGACCTTTTTAAAGTGATTGTGTGACGAATCATTTTACAGTGGTTGCTGCAAACTAGACTCATTGGAGATACATGCCCAGGGCTACATTTTTGTGAACCGCAAATAAGTACTTGAGGTAACATCTGCTTGCAGTTTTTTTTTTTTTTTTTTTTTACAAATCCACTAGAGACTACTGTGAATGTTTTTGACAATCTCAAATACAATACAGGGCCACATTGGCTCATCATATGTGCCGTTTACCCATCCATCTTGCACATTTTTATTTTTATATTTTTATTTTTCCTTCACTTTGTTAATTGATTAAGTTTTTTTTCCAAGCCACCGTTGCCACTGGTTTGCTCAGTTTGGGACTTGTGGAGCTGCTCATCGATGGATTTGCTCTTCAGTGTTTGAACTTTCAGCAGTGAAATTTAAACCACACTAAACTGAACTAAACTGAACTTCATCTCTGAAATCTGTACTTTACTAGAACTATTTTCAGCTGCTTTGACACAGTCTACATTGTAAAAGTTCTATATAAATGAACATTTATTGAATTGAATTGAACATGTCCATGAGAAGCTGGCCAACTTGTCCAGCATATGTCACCTTGCAATGAAAAGACCCAACCACCCCTTCTCTGAACCCAACTGATAATGTTTTCAAAAGTGTAGAAGAGTGGAAGAGTACTCCCTGTAAATATTTTGTTTTACCTGGTTTCTTGAACCATCCTTTTCCAGTCTCAAAATCTAGTCTCCTCTGTGCCCCAAGTCTGATACTGTACAAGATGAGCTACTGAACAAACTGTTTACACTGGAAAAGCCTTCCATATGGAGGTAAGCGGTCAGCAGTAGTGCAAGAAACAGAAACAGAAGTTGTTTGCGGAATCAGACCGCCCGCAGCATTCGTTTTACACACAAAATGCATCTAGACATATGCCAGGCCACATATTTTATGGTTCCCAAAAAATGTAGCCCTGGGCACATTTCCCCCAATGAACCTGTGTTGTAATGTTATATCATGAGCATGGATTGCGAGAGTGACGTAATGTATACTGAGTTTTTAGGACAGACGTGTAAGCTACGATCTCTGAGACTGAGAAACGTACATCTGCATTAGTGTCTGCAAATAAATGTATGAATGAATGTTATGCTTATATATTCCTTGTGTTGTGTGGCTATTGGTTAGCACTAATTGTAATGAGTTAATGAGTGACATGGTGTAAGGTCTTACTACTATGCTGTGCTCATACCAGGCGGAGAACGTGCAAATAAATCTTGCTTTTTGTGCATGAATAGTAGCGTGAACATTTTGAGTTTACTCGTACATTCACACATCAAATTTGCTTAATTCGGACATGAAATTCACTTCATTCGGACATCAAATTCACTTCATTTGTGTGTCAAATTTACTTCACAATAAATGCAGATTTGCGACATGGGCAGGGCTTCTGTCTCTAATGACTCAAGCTTCATTGCTAAATGACTAACACGGATTTTATTGAGAGAAAAGCTGTGTTATGTGCTTTAGGATGGCTGAAAAAACAGCGTATATTCATTCGGCACCGTGTCTGAGTGCACTAGATCCTTTCTGAGGTGCATCCAGCTCTGTGAGTTCATCAACTCCTCCAGAAACTATATAGTACTTGGATGATGGAGGCTTTCAGCGGAGCTTCCAACTGAGAGGAGCCCCGTTTGATGAACAACAACAGGACACCAACAACAGGCAATAATATCCAGCTTCAGACCCGCAGACCCACACACGTTTCAGTTCCAAAAATTCAGCACACACAATCTTGGCAGGGGCGAATCAGTTGAAGTCAGAATTTTTTACCCCCTTTTGATTTTATTTTATTTTATTTTATTTTATAATTCCCAAATCATTTTTAACAGAGCAAGGAAATTTTCACAGTATGTCTGATAATATTTTTTTCTTCTGGAGAAAGTCTTATTTGTTTTATTTCGGCTAAAATAAAAGCAGTTATTAATTTAAAAAAAATAAAAAAAATTTGGGGCAAAATTATTAGCCCCTTAAAGCTAATTTTGTTTTCTCGATAATCTACAGAGCAAACCATCGTTATACAATAACTTGCCTAATTACCCTAACCTGCCTAGTTCACCTTATTAACCTAGTTAGGCCTTTAAATATCACTTTAAGCTGTATAGAAGTGTGTTGAAAAATATCAAGTAAAATATTATTTACTGTCATCATGTCAAAGATAAAGTTTTTAAAACTATTATGCTTAGAAATGTGCTGAAACAATCTTCCCTCCATTAAACAGAAATTGGTGAAAAAAATAAATAGGGGCGCTAATAATTCAGAGGGGCTAATAATTCTGACTTCAAATTTTTATATATATATATATATATATATATATATATATATATATATATATATATATATATATATATATATATATATATATATATATAGTAAATAAATAGTGTATAGAATAGAGAATAGTGTAAACTATTTCCCAAAAATGGCGATCGAGACGGGCAGTAACGTCGCCATTTAATATAATACACCAAACAGTTTTTGTATCAGTCATTATAGATGATCAGTCATTATTTATCCGACAGAGTTATTATATACTGTAGCAGATACTTATTTGCTGACTTTGCTGAAACATGTTTCAGAGATATATAAAATGATTTAAATTGGACATGTTTAATTTATACAATGGATTTATTTTTATATAGGAAATAATAGCAAGTTAATATCTATAGGCTATAAAAAATCTTTTTATGTAAGACAAATATTTTACATTTAATAAATGCATAACACTATATTAATATATTACTCCAGAGATTGAATAGTATTTATTTGCTTAATTAAATAGTCATTACTTTTTTAACAAATTATTTTTATTTATATAATATGAGTACCAAAACTGCAAAGATATTAAAAATGATTGTTACGATATAATAATGAAATAATGACTGAAATGGGAAACTCTAAGCTGTTCACAGATGGTCTTGATCGCAAAATTTCTGAACTACAGTGGGTGGCGATAATGCTCCTGACCGTCATTAACCATATATGGTTCGCCCCTGCCTAGATGGTGTGTCCTGGATTATGTGTGCTGAAGCGTGTGTGGGTCTGTAAGTCTGCAGTTGGATATATCTCACAACAGGTGCTACGCCATAATCATGCCCCTACAAGTGAAAGCTCTGATTGGTTAACGCAAATGTCCGCTGAAGTTCAGATTTACCAACTCGAGCGTTTCAAATGCAAAATCATTTGCACCGCCTTATTCACGCGAAACGTGCTATTTGTGTCTTTGTATTGACTTAACATGTAAATTGTGCATGACGCTTCATCCATGTCTGGTGTAAACGCAGCACTAGAACTAGTGTAAAAGCTATATTTCTGCTGGCAAACTTCTTATGCATACAAAATCCCTATTTGGAAAAGTAAAATGATTTCTTCTAACACAGACATTACAGCAAAAGATAACTGACTTAAGACCATTTTTAGCTGGTAAGATATTAGTGTGTGTATACATGGCAACTAATATATCGATTTAGATCGAAATGGATTCAAACTTTTTCATATATTAAACTGTCACAAGCACACTCCCATAGCCTTTCACATCTTTATTTCCTCAATCCCTTCCAGCACTAATTGCGAGTGTTTTTTTTCCCTTCATGCTTCCTTTGACCCTCCTGTTCCCTGCCAGTTTGACAAAATCAAGTTCAAGACCTTGCTGGGAACTGGCATCAGGCCGGCACGAAATCAGACTTCTAATCATTTCCATTGTGTTCATGAATTGGTCTTTAAACCTGTTCCGGTGTTACAAATTGCTGAAATACAGCCTGGTTCTCGATTTTGTCTTCAACCCCAAAGAATTAAATCGTAGCTTCTCTTAGATCTTAGATCAAAGGAAAGATTGAGGAAAAAGAAAAAAAAAGGAGATAGGAAAAAAAGAGAAAGTCAACAAGTGAATTGTTCCATTAAAATCCTCTCGTTTGACTTTTGCTGCTGTTTTGTCTGCAGATTACAGTGACAGAGTCCGTGCTCTTCTTGCTGCAGTATGTGTCTGAGGATCTAGACAACCGAGAGAAGATCATTGTGATGGGCGACTGTTGTTACCTCAACCCTCTGGTCAGAAGGACGTTTCGCTTTCTTGGTATGTGTTCTCAGAATGAGGCCTGCTAATTAGGACAAATGTAGATTCAGACTTTTCCTTGTGCATTTGCGCATGCAGCAGAAGAAAAGGCGAATCGAGATGTCAGGCGCACACACAGTACTTGCAAGTTTCTTGTGCGGGGCAGACGATACCCTCATGGTTCATGTCAAAGCATTCTCTTCAATTATTTAAAATATTTCTTCTGCTGAGAGGAGTTGAAGTGGAAAACTATGAGATTTTTCTTGCTCTGATATTATGTTTTTCTCTCACATTTCTGGAGTCATTAGAAGCAAAGCGTACCTTGCTCAACGTTTCACTTAGTATCCTAATATAATCTTATATAACCAAGAAAAAATATATGCTTGTATTTTTTCAGTATTTTAGCTGTTTTAAAATAATTTCATTTTGACTAAACCACTCGAGACAGAAGCAGCTGTTTTGTTTATTTATTCGCAGAGTGCACTCTTGAAGTGTTGCCATGTCCATTTATTATAAGCAAAGTTTATTTAGTGTATTTGGGCTCGGTTAATAAAGCTTTCTAGTTATGAAGGTAATAAATTATATGATGAAGTTTATTATGGGCTTGCTCTTATCTGTGTTTTTATAGATCCGGCAAAAATGATCAGTCAAGAAACATCTTACTTTCTCTGAATTGATTTTTTTAATAATACTAATATTTAATTAGTAACTCTTGTCATCACACTGCAACCACATTCATATAAATATTATATAAAGTTTTAAGTCCCTAGATATATTTTAGTTGATGGGGAAAGTTACTTTTGAAAGTAATGCAATTCAATATTGAGTTACTCTCCCAAAATTAACTAGTTGCACTGATTAGTTACTTTTTAGGCTAAGTAATGTATTAAGTTACTTTTGAGTTACTTTTGCATTACTTTTTCATACTGGGCATGAGGCTTGACCTCTTTCAGAACTTTTTCTTCTTTTTTTATAGAGGAGCTCTGCAATTAACAACACATGTTATAACCTTCACCTACCTTACCTTAAAGAACATATACAAATACTATTTTAGGATAATGTTATCTTTTGAGAACTTCCTGACCCCAAAGCTTTACATGCCATATACAGATAAATGACAGTTTAAAGCAAATGTGTTTGCTACTTTTGTACTTTTTGTCTTATAATCACCTTTTCCTGTTCTTCAGTGTGTTCAGAATATTGAGAAAAGGTCCATTGCAGAAATCTAAGGCTCTGCCGTATTGTTTTGTTCCTGGATTCTCTCATTGAGTGCATGATTCAACGTGATACCATTAATTTAAATTCAGCAAATTATTTGTTTAAAGCTATTAATAACTCACATTAATTAAAATTTTTTTAAAAAGTAAATCAAATATTATTACTTAATTTGTTAAAGTAATGCATTACTGTATTAGTTACTTAGAACAGTAATATTATTACGTAACTCACTTTACTTGTTATCCCCAACACTGGTTGTAACCAAAGATCCCTCTATTTCTAGCTTAGCAAAAATTTGCTCTCTTTTTAAGATATTAAGCAAAACATTATATAGCAAACATATACAGCTATACATACTGTGGTAACTATCAAGAAATTACAATTTTTAACTTTAAAGTGTATTTTTGGGAAAGTGTACCAGTATACCAGTCTTTACCAACACACACATACACACACATATATATAAAGCAAATCTCAGTTCAATACCTTATTATAATATTTAATAAAAATATGAAAAAGTTACACTGTGTGGTTTGGGACAAACATAATGTGCTTTCAAAAGCTCATTTTCGACTACAGACAGAATTAAAGTATCAAAATAGAAACAAAAATATTTAAAGTAAATGAGTACAGGGTTTTACACATTTTTAATTCGCAAGCAGCCCTAAACAAGTCTCCTTTCAAGAAGATTTCTCAAGTAGACTTTATTATGTTTTATTTAATTTTTTAAAATAAATTTAAACCAATGTAATGGATTAAAATAAATTTAGTTTTTTGTCTTCCCGTTGATAGTTGATATTTCCACTGCATGAAAAAAAAACAACTATTGTCTAATAACATCTGTTATGACACACACTCAAAATATTACCATGCAATGATTCTTTTTTTCTTTCTCTACATTTAATAAATCCACTTCACTCTCTAACTACTCTTCAGCAGCTAAGCAATGGAAATTTACAATGAGATCACAATAACAGAAGGTCAAAGACAAATTTCAAAACATTTTGTTTTGTTGGTATATTATGTCTAGACCAGGAGTGTAGCCCAGATATTTGGGCTCTAAGATAAGACAGTGTATGGGCAGGAGAGTGGCTTTCCATTAGTTCTTTAATCCAATACTATTATTTAGTAATTCCTGACAAATCTCTGAGATAAAATCAAGGACTTATGTTCACACAATTGACATGTTTAGAATGAGATAAGAAAGATAATCATTTGCTTTCAAACATATTGTTTCTCTTATCAGTTTTAGGTACACTAATGTAGACAAATGTTACCTGGTTATCTAACAATTATTATACTTTCCCCAACTTTATTTATAAAACTTTATAGAATATATATTTATAGAACAGAGAAGGACACTAATCAAGGATCCAAAATGAGTTACATCCAAATTAATGTAAATATTTAAACTCTAACATTTATAATGTTAACACACAACACAACACAACATCGCCATGTTCTCACCTGCTGCCTTAAGAAAAGCTTCCCTTTTTTTTCTCCTTCCTTTTTTTTCATTTTTTATAAACCCAATTTTTGGGGACGTTTTTGGATTATTGCTTTTATTATAAACTCAGATCAAAATACTTGACTCTTTAGCTCATCTCCACTAAAACCACTCTCCCTTCCAGCCAATAAGCGTTTAGCATAATTCCTAAACAATCAATGCAATCATTCACACTTGCATTCACACTGTGCTTGAATATGAGAATCGTCAATGCAGATATGTGGGTTTGATGACAAGCCCAAAGCTTGTTAAAGTAGCTAGATACAAGACATTCACTCAATATGACAACAATATTTCAGGATCTTCAGGGGCAGCCAGCCCAGGGCCCCCACATTTAAGGGTCCTAAATACACTCAGTCAATATTTCCCTGATCTTATGACACCCCTGAGAGCGATTCACTAAGTCTAATAGTGGATGATCCAAACACTGCAATCACTTCTCATTTAGTAAGTAGAGTACTAATTGGAAATGGAATTGGAAATTGGTTGTCACTACAGTGAATGAACACACTGTGTGTGTACAGAACAGGATTAATCTATAAATGGTGAATTGACAATGATTTTAAGGTAGACATGGATTTATAGACTTCATTACATTGTGCTTAAATGTGAACAGTTGTTACCTCTGAAACCTTACAGTGTGTTTGGGGCCCCAAATGTTCACTGCTACAGCATGTTTGTTTTCCCACCGAGAAAATTGCAGTCAATTCATTGAAAAAGTGGCATTTCAGCTCAGAACCTGAATCATAATAATTAAGTTGAGTAAGTAAATTTGCCAAAATAATAAAGTAAATTAATTCTAGCTAATTTCAGCTCACCCCTTTCTTCTGAGGCTTGTTATAGATGTCATCAGTGTGAACACTTTAAAATGTATACTTGAAACTAACACTGTAAGTGTACTTATGGTGTAAGTGTTTGAAAGGGCTTTTCTGCACTGAAAAAAAGTGTTGCATGCAGAACTGTTGCAAACAATTTATTTGTGTTGAATTTAAACAAACAAATTAAGTTTAATAATGTTCAACTTAATTTGTTTGTTTAAATTCAACACAAATAAATTGTTAAGAACCACTTAACGTAAAAAAAATTGAGTAAATCTAAGGAATCATCTTTGAATAATTTTTTTCAGTGTGTATTGTTCTAGCACAGCACATTTTTTTGGCATTTGTTAGCATTTGATTACAAAATCATATGATTAGACTTGAGAAGTGCGAAGATCTCAGCTGAAATTCAGTGCTGTGGTTAAATGCAAAGTTCTCTGGAGCATAATGATTACGCGTGTTAATGTGGGGGCCGATGGAGGAGCTGTGTGAGTAAACTGACAGCCGTTGTGCTCATTGTAAACTAGTTTCAGTCTGCTGCTTCACCGAGCTCAGCTCATAGACAACATTCGATGTGACAAAGCTGCCCACGCTTACATTAAGATATGAGTCCTGTTCCTCTGCTTTCGTGCCCAATATGCCTGGATGTAAGAAAAATGCAGATTTATGCAGCCCTGAATGGGATGCTGCTTTCCATGATGTGATTCAGTTAGAGTTTTTTTGGATTTGTGTCCTTATAAATAGGCATTATAGTAATTATGAAGAAATTCATATTAATTAAAAAAATGCACATTACAACATTGTTAACCTAAATTGTTAAAATAATTGGCTAAGAATTGATTGATTGATTGATCAAAAATTATTTTTTAATTCAGAAAGGACTCAAACGACATAAGTAATGTTACAAATAGCTTATACACTAACCAGCCACTTTATTAGGTACAGTACACCTGTCCAACTGCTCGTTAATGCAAATTTCTAATCAGCTAGTCACATGGCAGCAAATCAATGCATTTAGGCATGTAGACATGGTCAAGACGATCTGCTGCAGTTTAAATTGTGCAAAAGAATGTGGAGGAAAGCTGATTTAAGTGACTTTGTACATGGCATGGTTGTTTGTACCAGACAGGCTGGTCTGAGTACTTCAGAAACTGCCGATGTCCTGGGATTTTCACACACAACCATGTCTAGGGTTTAAAGAGAATGGTCCGAAAAAGAGAAAATATTCAGCGAGTGGCAGTTTTGTGGGCGCAAATGCCTTGTTGAAGCCTTGAGGTCTCAGAAGAATGGATAGACTGATGGACAGAGCTGAGAGAAAGGCAACAGTAACTTAAATAACCACTCGTTACAACCGAGGTTTGCAGAAGAGCATCTCTGAATGCACAACACATTAAACCTTGAGGCGGATGGACTCCTCTCAGCTAAGAACAGGAAAATGAGTCTACAATTTGCACAGGCTTACCGAATTAGGACAATAAAAGATTGGAAAAACGTTGCCTGGCCTGATGAGTCTCGATTTCTGCTGCGACATTCAGATGGTAGGGTCAGAATTTGGCATCAACAACATGAAAGCATGCATCCATCCTGCTTTGTATCTACAGTTTCGGCTGGTGGTGGTAGTTTAATGGTTTGGGGGATATTTTTCTAATACACTTTGGACCTATTAGTACTTATTGAGTTTCGTGTCAACCCCACAGCCTACCTAAGTATTGTTGCTGACCATGTCCATCCCTTTATGATCTTAGTGTACTCAATATCTACTTCCAGCAGGATAACACGCCATGTCAGAAAGCGCGTCTGGGGTCCAACCCAGTACTAGTAATGTATACCTAATAAATTGGCCAGTGTGTGTGTGTGTGTGTTTCAAATAAATGTTGTTCTTTGAAACATTCTCTAATTAAATGTTAAACAAAAATATCAAGCTGCATAATGACAATCATAATAAATGCTTCCTAATCACTGAATCAACACATTCAAATGATTTCTGAAGAATCATGCAACACTGAAAACTGGCATAATCATATAAAATTAATTTATAAATGTTTTTAAAAAGATATTATAAACTGTAAAAATGTTTTACAGTTCTACTTTGATAGTTTAAATAAAGCCTTAACTGTGCAGTAGGTAATTGTCTTCAGAAACATGTTGAAGGATATGTTGAAGAATGCTGAAAATCAAATCATTTAGGAAAAACAAGTACTATGGAAGTCAATGGTTACAAGTTTCCAATATTATTCATATTTTCTGAAATATAGGGTGAGTAAATTATGACAGAAACATTACAAAACCCCAAACCCTTAAATATTGCCTTGTATTTTTTCAGGTGTGTATGCATTTGGCCTGTTTGCCACAGACATCTTTGTAAATGCCGGGCAGGTGGTGACAGGAAATCTTTCTCCATACTTCCTGACGGTGTGCAAACCCAACTACACAGCACTGGGGTGCCAACAGGTGGTGCGTTTCATCAACCAACAGGACGCTTGCACTGGCAACGAAGATGATATCTTACATGCTCGCAAATCCTTCCCATCCAAAGAGGCGGCCATCAGTGTTTATGCAGCTCTTTATGTTGCAGTGAGTAAATCTGACACACTGTATACACATACACTAGAAAGAGACAATTTAAATCAGACTGGTGCACCTAAACTGCAAAAACTACATAAAATAGAATGTATATGATCTACTTTACACATTATTTAGCTAATGTTTAAGGAGGGATCTGATAGTGATTAGATGCAAAGTGATAGAACATAACTTAACTCAGTCTGCGCTCCAAGATGCCACATGCAGTACAAGTGTACAGCCATACAGTGTTTGTTTCACTTGGAGGAGTAAGAAAAAAAATACAGGAAAAAAGGTCAGTCACAGACATTGTTGACAAGAAACATCACTAAACAGTCTGGAGCTACTTAGTTTTTTGCAATTCGACACAAAACAGTAATGCAAACTGCGCAGATGACTCGTGTCATCGAAAGCAGGCAACATCACAAACCTGTTTCATCTTTTAAAACAATACCCCACTGATGAAGATGCTAATAAAATTACAGACTCAAACAAGTGTTGGTAAACCAGCGCAACTACCCAGCAGAGTTTCATGTCATCATTTTCTAAAGCCATGCCTTATGAGGAAAAACCCCTGAAAAGAATTAATGACAGACATCTCAAACACATCTCAAGCTGCATTATTTAAGGGTATTTGTTAGGCATTGAAAGGCACTTTTGTTGTCAAGCTTATGTTTCCTTTTCAACATTAAGATATTTTCTTTGGAGTTTTTATTACATATTCTCCCTCATCGACGATAAAAGAGCCAGCCTTTATGAAGGACATAATCACAGAGGAGAAATACTCAAGACATAATCTTGCAAAATATTGTCACATTAAAAATGCAGCAAATATATGACAGACGTTTACAACAACAGTGGATCATTAATTAAATCTTTATTTTCCACAGGGCGAAGCATCATCCACCCGAAGTTGTTGAAGGCGGGCATAAGCTAAAAATACATACACATTATATATTTTTCTTTAAAAATGTATCTTTTTGCAACGAATTTCATTATGTATAATGAGTAACTTAATTCTAATGTACAAGAAGATCAAATAACATCTGGCGTGAAGCGCTTCAAATCAAGTCCGATATAGTATATGCTTTAGACATCAATCCATTAATCTATTTTCACAGTTTTATTTTCATTAACCAATCGCGTTTTGAGCAGCATAAGCTGGACAGTCTTTACAAGCTATTCGCAGAACTGACAGTTTACTTAGGTTACCTGCGAAGAATAAACTCGGTCTGAAGTATGAGAGAGCTTAGAAACCCATTGAGTGAATGGAGAGGCTCCCTGCATGTCTCTCCGTGATGCGTGATTTATAAAATGAGAATCTGCATAGGCCTATTTGTGCCAGTCTGTGAGGTGAAATTAAAACACCCTCGGATATAACCGAGATCTGCGCATAAAAGTTTTTTTTCATCGGCAATATGCAATGTTAAGTGGGTGACTGCTTAAGTAAGGTAAACTGCACACACTTGATGATGTAATGCATGGACGCGTCTCACAGCGCAAAGCTTAACTAAACCTTTTAGAGTTGGCCGATATTGACCAATTTGGCATCGTACGATGTTTAATGTGAAACATCGCGATGCATGATGGTATCGTTGTCGTAGTTGGGGATGGTGGTTGTTAATTATTAATTAATTCATAATGAATTAACTAATTGTAGTCTACCATTTTCACTACCTGACCCACACAGTCTTTGTTTTACCTATAACTAAACCATAAATAAATAAAGTTACACACAAATTATCACCTGTCAATCACTTTTTTTCCACGGGACTCTTGCATGAATAGGCACAGTGATCTGTGTTGTTATAATGGCTTTTTCCCACAGCTGGTAGAGGAGACGAGAGTTCGGTTGGAGTTCAATGTAGTTTGTATTGTTGATGATAACTTTTTTTTATTTTATTATTATTATGAGAAAATAATAACAAAAAAAGATGCTAGGGCTCAACAATTTTGGTCGCATATGAGCCCGAAATTTTATTTATGCAACCTAAAATATATATTTAAAAGCATTTGTGATAGTGCATCAATTTTTACTGTTTTCACGGCAAAATCCTCACCGCGTGCGCGGATTTAGGAGATATTCATGCAGGATGCATCTTTGCACCTAAAAACGGCAATCAGTAACAGATTAAAACAGTTGCTATGTGAACTTTCTGAAATAAAAAAAGCCCACAATGCTTGCCCCGCCTTTGTGCTCTTCATATTGGCCCACTGCTCTAGAACTGAACATGAATGGATTGGTTAACATCAGCTGTCAATCACTCAGTCAATGCCTTCTGCCTTCAGATGACAGGAGCTACAACAGCTAAAATGTGAAGCGCTGAAGATGAGAGAATGAAAATAACACTCACAGATTTTGTTTTAGAAACCACCTACAGTTACTAATAATGGCACATCTTATTAGTAATCATGTGCTAAATGTTAATCCACCATTTACTCTTTTCCAAGAGTGGATAAAAGACTTCCAGTGACTTCAAGTCCGCTATGAAAATAACTAAAGCCATTCACTGTAAAGTCTGTGGGACCGGGTTTGTGGGTAACAACATGAATTTTGCACATTTTAAGCGCGAGAGGTGCTGTATAATCCTTCATTTAATCCTCACGATGCTGTTAGCCATGCTAGCTATATGTAAAATTTAACACAGCTCATGAAAAGACCGTTATTGCCATTAAGATGACATGCAAATTCATTCATTCATTTTCTTGTCGGCTTAGTCCCTTTATTAATCTGGGGTTGCCACAACGGAATGAACCGCCAACTTATCCAGCATAAAGTATATTTTACGCAGCGGATGCCCTTTCAGCCGCAATCCATCTCTGAGCAACATCCACACACACTTATTCACACTCATTCTCATATTCTACGTACAATTTAGCCAACCGAATTCACCTGTACAGCACCTCTTTGGACTGTGGGGGAAACCGGAGCACCCGGAGGAAACCCCCGCTAACGCAGGGAGAACATGCAAACACCACACAGAAACGCCAACTGACCCAGCAGAGGCTCGAACCAGCAACCTTCTTGCTGTGAGGAGACAGCACTACCTACTGCGCCACTGCGTTACCCCGACATGCAAAAAATAAGTTATATATAAATATAAATGTGAGGCGGGGAAATAGATCATCGTGAAGTTTATTGGCCATTGATGATGAACGATGCCATCGTCTATCGGCCCAACCCTAAAACCTTTAAATGTCCATGTTTGATCAGTCATTGGTAAGGTCTATTGATTAAAGGGTTATTGACACTCAATCAATCACCAAGTAATCGTTAGCATCCATACATAACATAGCCTATACATTAAAGGATATTTCACCCTAAATACACCATACTCACCATTAACAGGACAGTACATGCAAAACTGAAAATTCTGTGACCAATAACTCATCTTTTACTTGTTCCAAACCTGTTTTATTTTACTTATTTATTTTTGATGTTGATATCCAATAACTTGTATGTAATGTATTTGGTTGTTAAAAACTTGAACAGTAAATGCTGAATTAAGATTGTTCTTTTGTTTGATATTTTATTATTTATATTGTCAGACAGCTAAAGCATTTGACAAAATGTCTTCAATCAGCTGCAAAAAGTGATCGGCTTACTGAAAATCCTATAAATTTAGTTGATATAAAGATTTGACATTTATCGTGATATTTATCCATATCGACTGATATGAAAAAAATGATTGTGATCATTTTATTTGCCATCTCCCAGCCCTAATTTACAGTATGAATCACTACTAAAATTGTGTGTTTATCCCTAACATTGTAATGTAATGTAATGTGTATTTTATATAGTGCATTTATTGTGTATGGCCATACCCCGTATTACACCATTACAATATACATACACCATTGTATAATCGTTACTTATGTTGGTCACTATAAAAGGAGCTGCTGGCTCAGTGTTCTTTTATTTCTGTATTGTTCTGTTTTATTAACTATTTCCATCAACACCTTTTATGGGATTTCTCACAATAATCTGACTTGTTTATTAAAGTGTTTGTGTTTGTAACATGCTCAGACGAGTTTACATCCTTTTAAAACTAAACTGTAGTTTACACAGTAGAATTCTAAGAATTCAAACTGACATTGTAAAGATACATATGTTGTAAATTAGTTTTTAGATTTACATTGTTTAGCATGTTGTATTTTTAATGTGAAGATTAAGTGATTTACCCAAAACAGGATATTGTTCTAACACCCCATCAGCTTCTGACAAGAGAGAAGCTTTTTATTCATACTTAAGTATTGATCCAGACATGAATTGGGTTTTCTAAGTGGCACCATTTTTCATCAGCATAAAAAGCCATTTTCCATTTATTCTTGAAGTCCAAAAAGCTACAAGGCTCATCTCAGCCACACAGCACTCATTTTGGCCACAGAAAATTGATTTTCATTTTCCATCAGCTCTCCCAAGGTCTTTAAGTTGCCTTGCCTCGCTTTCTGATTTTCGATCATGTTAACATCTGGAGTGACCTGTTAGATTTAATGCGGTCTCAGGGTTTTGTAGAAATGTATCTGCATCACAGTCAGATCCATTAGACGCTCAGTAGTGTCACAAGTATGTGTAAAGTACATGGCACACTTCACATTTTTCGGCAAAGCCAGAAATGTCTTTAGAGCAACAGCAGGAAATAAAAAATAAAAAGGAACGATGCATGAACATATATCACCTAGCAACATTGAAACCTAATCATGCCAATCAGATTAATTACTCTGCATGACACCAATCATTAAATAAATCAGAAATGATTTACATTATAAATAGGCACATTTAATGCAGCTTCAAGGCAGATGGTAAGAAGTCTAAATTGCCCTTCTAGGAGATTATTTAATGATTCTTTGACACTAATAAAATGAATAACTTCCCTGTAGACTGGGAACAAACTTTCATCTGTCTTTTCTAAATGGCATGGTGTCATAGTTGGATGAGAGGAGAAAAATCGATAGATTTAGCCTGCCTGAGGGCTGCTTTGTTACTTTATTACCTCGTTTTGCTGGTGATG